TCTCTCTCTCTCTCTCTCTCTCTCTCTCTCTCTCTCTCTCTCTCTCTCTCTCTCTCTCTCTCTCTCTCGCGCGCGCGCGCGCGCGCTCTCGCTCTTGCTCTCTCTCTCTCTCTCTCTCTCTCTCTCTCTCTCTCTCTCTCTCTCTCTCTCTTGATATTTTCCGCATGAATGTTTTGATAACTCCCTCGTCCTTATCAGCTCCTGAGGTCTTGTCCTACTCGTCTCGCGGAATTCAATCGGATCTCACGAGGACAAGTATCGTTGAATTTGAAGTGACCAACGGGAACATGTGATCTTATCTTATCCCTTTCTTTGCTACTCGGTATTCGATGGTTAATGCATGTGCAATCTCCCGCACATATGTATCGATTGAGTTGCTATCCCGATGACGGGAACGACGTTGAAATCTGATATGATCATCTCGATGCCTGCTTAACTATTCGCACAAATAAAGGATGGTCGTTCTCTCGACTGATTGGACTGCATCGATTTATGCTTCAGATCGATTTGTATGATGGGTGGAAGCTAATGCAGAGCGTGGTGCCTATTTGTTCCTTTGATTGAATAACTAATTGATTAGACATATGCACTCATCCTCGTTTATGTCATGTGGACCGATTGCCTTGATCCGAGCGGGCATCGAATTTCCGTATCCCCGCCACGCTCGTCCCCATATAACGAGGAAAGAACGCGTGTATGTGAGTGGGATAAACTACGAGAAGACATCCCCATGATCGGCGGACATTACTATTTTCCTCCCGAAACAAGGTGTTCACTGTTCAGGATTCGTAGGCACTGGTTTTGTCATTATTGATACCCACTTTCCCCCGTACTCGTTGTTATTGTTTTTTAACAATGTCTGACCTCGGATGTTGGTCCAACCGTCGGTCATGATTGTGCAACCATGCTCTCTCGCCGTTTCAATGAGTGGGCGAACACACTTTTGGACCTCTGCATCCAGCTCGTCCAATAGGGTCGTGCGCACCAGGTGGTACGTGGGCAGTTTGGGCATAGGAGCCCCTGGAACCCCTGGGGGGATGATCATCGTGAACATGCGTTTGAAGCTTTCAAGCTTCACGCAGTTGAACGCCATCCCACTCTTGACGATGAAGCGCATAATCTGCAAATGCCACGCGTGCTCCAAAGGGTCCGAGTAATACGACGTGGCGGCCTGTTGTCGATAGGTGCCCCGGCCACGTCCCGTCGTGGCTCGGCCGCCAAGGATCCCGACATCCAACAACCCACCGGGACTCGCAGGTGCCGCGCTCTGGGCCACTGCAATGGCGCGCATGCGATACAAAGGATCCAACGTACCGGTAAGTATAGGAGGAGCAGCTACAGTAGCACCTGTCGTCGCCGGACGCGGGGTCGATGACGAATCAGACACCGGAATGGGGACCTTAGCAGCACCCGCCCCGTGCACTACCTGTTCCCCAACTAGAGAAAGGGAAGCAGCCTGTCGAGCATCTGCATGTACGCGTGGAGAATCCGGTCTGTCCGTCGTAGCAACATGGTCGGCGACCGCACCCTGCGCCACTTTCGACGGCGGAGGCGGCAACCAAGGGTGGTCTGACGAACTGCGAGCAGCTGCAGCAGGGGCCGCAACAGTACTGGCCCGTGCAGCAGGTGAGCGTCTGGCACTGGTAAACACAGGGGCATTTCCGACCGAAGTGCCAACATCCCTCCCCCACGTGCGGCTCTCAACAAAAGCACGTGTGCCGTGTTCGTCAAACGCCGCACACTCCGTACCCCCCCGCACGGAAGGGGGCTCATTGGCCGGCGCAGACCGACCAACATGCAAAGCGCCTACACCCTGTGTCCCAGTTAGCGGTGCTGACGTTGGAGCTGGTGGACGTGGCGGTGTGCGTCGCGGTACTGTTACCCGAATGGCTGGACCTGTCGAAGGCACCGCCCCCGAGGGGGCGGTGGTGGAAACAGGGGCCGACACCGAGTCCTCGGGGAATCGCAACGGTGGCCACTGGAACTTCGGATGACCGTGAGGTAAGATCTGCAATGCCTCGATAGCCGATATGAAGTCCTTAGGACATTTCGCCATGTCCTTCGACCAAATTGCATGCCACACTGCAGCAGTGGCCGCCTCACATCTGAACTTCTCGCTCTTCGATAAGTGTTCCTTGGCTGCCTTAGCGCCCCCGCAAATCGAACGCCCGCACAACCTGCACAGGAAGCGACGACCACTCTTTCTACCAGCCGCAGTGGACCCATCCAAATAACGACCTCGTGCGATGAAATGCCACACAGGGTCATCTCTCTTGCCGTCGATTGCAGGATCAACCTTGAACGGCGAGTCAAACGTCTTCGTGTTGTGACCTTGTTTGGCGGCATTGGATGAGTCCGCCGGACCCTTGCCATTGGGGTGCGACATGCTGAAAGCCTGAAACACCGGCACTACGATAAGACGTTGTCGTAAAGTGGAGAGAAAGCAGCTGCAGAAACCGGAATCGGAGACAGAACGGCAGCAGAATGCAAAGGAACTGCCCAAAATGGAGAATCAGGAACTGCATGAACAACCTAGACAGGAAAGCAAAAACAGAAACGGACATACAACACAGAAACACACAACAAAGCAACAACAAAAAGAAATCAACAACCTTCAACAATGAAAAACCAACACCTATGCTACAGTGTTTGAACCTTCGACTAGAAAAGGAAATCAACAAACCTCAACTATCAAAACCCAAAAACATAAAAAGAAGGACAAAACCGGATACATTAATCGAAAACGTGCAGAGCAGACAACACCTATGCCACAGGTTCGTCGCTATGGCGATGCAGTCGCCCAAAACAAAACTACACTACTTGTCGTATCTACTACAGCTTGACTTATGCAACAGGATCACTTCAGCGCTTCAAGACCAGAGTACGAGGACCTCAAGGTCCTCAACACCGTAGTCAACCTCTCCTCCATGTACCAGGTACGTGCCACATCATCCCCACTCAGTGGCACTCACACCTCTTCTTACCCACACAGCGCCCTTCTCTCCCGAAGACCACCTTCGCCCTCACCTTCTCCTGGCGCCCTCCCAGCAGCCCGGCTATGTCTGCTGGCGCCCTGCACGCAGGCTGCGTCCCACCGCTTAGCGCCAGCCACCCACTTCGTGAAATGTCTGCACTGAGGGCTCTTGTTGATTTGCTGGCCCGCCTTCACTCAGGGCGGGCACGAGGCTTACTGGGGCCTTAGCCCAGAACATGTACATCATGGCAAGGCCCCTACTTGAGGGCTCAATCCTCACAGAAACGAGAGAAAAAAAGAAAAAAAACAGCCTTTCAGGAACGACCGGTTCTCTGCATTGAAGGACCGGTCTCCCACTGTATAAGGGATGCTTTCTTTTTTTTTTCTTCTTAATCTGCTGTTCCTGGATAGACGAGGGCCCTGACTGAACTGCTACAGAAAGGCCCTGACTGAACTGCTACAGAAACTCGGCGCCTGACTGAAGTGCGAAACCAGTGTTTCGAATGCAATTACAAACTATTTTCGTGACTGCGCTGAAGTTACCCCGAAAAA